AACAATAAATGTTAAATTAATGCCAATTCCGTATTATCGACAATTTGGAATAAAAATGTATCATGAAATTACACACCAAAACGCAAACATACATTTATTTTTTTGTATATAATAAATTAGAAAACGGAAAACAAAAGAAATTTAGAAATTTGTATGTTCTTAGCCTATAACAATTATACTTATTAATATACATATTTGTAGTGTAGTTGTTTGTGTTCACATATTAATATTTAATGAAACATTTTCTGTTTGTATTTGCTCTACATTTATATATTATGAATAATGAATTATTTCGTAATAATTGATTATTACCAATATGATTTTATTTTTATATTTTAAATGTATAATTAGCTACATAAATTTATCGTTTTAGTGTTAAGTTTTATTTTTTTTAATTTATAGATAATTATTATCATTATCGTTTTATTAGATTCGATAATTTGTTGTTAAAAAAGAATTTCCATTTAGTTTGTTTCTTGTTTTGTTTTGCTTTTAGTCAGGTATAAAAAAGTTGTAATGTCTTAAAAAATAAGTTGTTGTTAAGTCTAAGAGAAGAATGTAGTTGATGAAGATGCTGGCAATGAAGATTACCAAGTATGTAATCATGATCTTCTTGATCTGTATGAATGTCTATTACATAGAGTATAGCATTTAGTTAAATATTGATATAGTACAAAATTTACAACACGAATGTGATTTTTTGAGAAAGTTTCATTTTTTAGTTTTTTTTTTCGAAGTTAAATAAATAAAAAACGAAAAAAAGTTAAGACCTTTAAGGATAGATTTTAGAAATCTATAAATTTAAATTTTTTTATAAATTCTTTTGTGTATTTGTAAATTATAATAATAAACTTCTTATAAAATAAGTGCAGTTTTTACAAGTAATTTGTTTTTTGCTCTATCTCTCTTCTGTATATAATAAATTGGTGCGGGTTTTAGGTAGTTTTTGTTTTTCAATAAATTTGTTTATAGGTTGTATAAAAAGTTTTTGTTTGAGTTCAGGTAAAGGAAAGGGGGAGAGCGGGTGCATTTTCGTAGGTTCTATGTAAAAAATACTTCTAAAAAGGCTAAGCTCTGAATGGTTTATTTTTTCATTTTTTTTACTAAGATTGTTGTAGTAGTTCGTAGGTATATCAATCACTTTTATTAGAAATACATTATTTGTTACATATAAACATATTTTTTATTTTAAGAATTGACAATATTTATTTGATATTTTTATTATTAATAATAATTTATAGATATATGTATATTTATTTTGTGATTTTTTACGTCTATAAATATTTATTTGATATTACATATTTAATTGCGCTTATTTGAAATGAAACCGAAATCCTTTTAATTGATAACTATCAAATGAAGAGTGTTTAGTGATAATTTATAACATAAATACAAATGTTTTTGAAAATAAATGCTGTGACCGTGCTGGGCGACTTTATTAAAAAAAAACATTACACCATATCCTTTTATGATATTGTGATATCCTTCAGCATTATATGGGGTAGATAAATCAGTAATATCTCGTAATATTCAAAAAACAAGTGAAAAAGCGTTAAGTTCGTACGGTCCGAACTTTGGATACCCTCTACCATAGATATACTGACAGGAACTAGAAATGAAAATATAGGGAACATACCAAAAATTGGACCTATACCGACATTTCTAAAAACGGATTATGTAAACCATAATACATATTTCAGAAATTTTTAATGGATAATTATCAGTTTCAGAAAATTTAGATTTCATCCAAACTTTGCCCATCTTATTATCACTTCCAAGCTTAGTTCAAATTCGAAGATGGGGAATATCGGTCCACTCCTTCTGGAATCTCCAAACTAAGGCTAGGTCTCGCTATCCTCCGCAGGTGAAATTATTACAACAGAGTCTTAGAACGAAACTCAAAACGCGGAACAAATCAGATAAGTATTTTAACATAAACCAAAAGGGAAAGTAGTAAAGTCGGACGGGCCGACTATATGATACCCTTCACCACCTTGGGTATATTCAACAGATGAATCCTAACAGACGTCGCATTTTTGACGGACCAGTAAAACGAAATTGGATCCATAAACATGTCATTCTGCAACCTATACTAAATTTATCATTTTGTCAGATATAGGGTTGCTTCATACAGTGGGAAAACATTATGTAAATCAATTTAAAGCAAATATCAACCCGTTGATTATTTGGATAAATATCTGATAAACCTTCTCATGTTTATGTTTAGTGCACCATTTACTTAAAATCGGGAGAAAATATATATGGTAGATCTATTCAAGTCCGAACCAATTTCAAAAAAAAAAAATTCCACATGCTAGGTTATATTAACTACAGTTCATTGTACAAAATTGTGTGGCAATCGAACAAACTTTGGGTCTTTAGTGCATACTTTACATAAAATTGGAAGAAAAATATGTCAAAGCTATGTCTAAATCTGAACCGAATTTTAGCACACATCATTTTAGACTTAATTCAGTACACTATGCAAAATTTCGTGCAAATCGAAAGATATATAGGGACATTGGTGCACCATTTACATTAAATCGGACGAAAATATATATAGGAGCTATATCTAAACCTGAACTGATTTTTCCCCATTTCTATAGGGTTCGTCCTTGGACCAAATAAGTGACCTATGCCAAATTTCATCCAAATTCGGATCATAGATACGACCTGTACTTTGTATACAATTTAACATCGACAGACAGAAGGACGGATGAACGGACATGCATAAATCGACATAGAAAGTGATTCTATGCATATTCTCAAAAGGATCCATGTGTCTATCTCGGTTCCTTTTGCCTGTTACAAACATATGCACAAATACATAATACTCTTTACCACAGTTGGGTGAGGGGTGTAAAAAGGGGGTTATATGGGGACTACCCCAAAAAGGAGGCGAATATAAATAATTTTTGGTTGGGAGATTTGTTACCATATACGACTACAAAATACCAAATTGCAGCAAATTCGGTTGAAAAACGCGCTCAAGAACCCCAAAATACCGAAAATTGGGGGTACCCTTATATGGGTGCTACAATAAAAAATGGACTTATATTTATAATTTTTAGTGGAGATACCCAATAAAAACCCAATGTACCAAATTTCAGAGAATTCGGTTGAAAACCGCGCTCGAGAACCCCAAAATACCGAAATTTGGGGGGTACCCTTATATGGGAGCTATGCCTAAACGTGGACCGATGTAGCCCATCTTCGAACTTGACCAGCCTGCACACAAAAGAAGACACTATGCAAAATTTTGGCGATCTGTCTCAATTCGTTTAGAGGCTAGAGTGATTAGGACAGACGGACATGGTTAAATCGTCATATAATTTTACTCTGATCAAGAATATATATACTTTATAGGGTCGGAAATGATTATTTCGATGAGTTACAAATGGAAAAACAAAATTAAAATACTGTCCATACTATGGATTAGGGTATAAAAACCTATTCTTGATTGTAACAGAATTAAAAATGTTATAAAGGCGGAGTTGAATAATTTTATTGATATTTCGTAAAATATCAATCCTCTCACAATTAATTACAAAAACTACAGCAGCTTTTGAAATAAAAATCCATGACAGTTTAAATTTAATTTTAAAAAAATCCATGTCTATATAGGTCCACACAAAGTTAATTTGGGACCTCTCAAAATTAATTTAAAAAATCCACTCCTTATATATGGCCTCTAGAAATTAATTTAAAAAATTCAAGCCTTATATTTGGCTTTTTAAAATTAATTAAAAAACACAAATTAACTAAAAAATCCACGCCTTATATGGCCTCTGAAAATTAATTAAAAAATCAACCTCTTATATATGGTCTGTGAAAATTACATTAAAAAATTATTAAAAAATCAAAATGCTTTTGAAAATTAAATTTAAAATCCATACCATGAATATGATTAAGGCGTGGATTTTAATTTAAAAAATCCATTTCAATTAAAAAAATAAAAAGTCTACCCTTTGTCCTTCAAAATGTTAAATGAACATTTCAAAATTTTTATTACATTTAGTTTTAGATTTTATTATTAGTTTGTCCACTAAATATTTTATTTTCAACCTCAATATTTTAAATTTAAGTAACCCCGTTTTGATATACTCGCTTTATATGGTCCAAATACGATATCAATCTTTATTTATCTGCAGGATATGGCATAATGTATCGTGTAATTTTGAATATATAATTGTAGTGGGATTTTTTTTTTTTAAATTGAAATATGAATATCAACATGATGAATTTTAAAAATGAATATTTTTTAATTATTTAATTTAATTTACATGTATTACGATATACATTAATCATATAAATTTTATTTTGTTATATAATTTAATAATAGTTAAGGATCGGTTCTCGTAAGCATTTCATGACCAAAAAATATGTTCTTATACAAAAAAGATTCCCTAAGAGTTTGCATTTAATTGGGTTGGTTTTTTCCAAAAAGTGTGTATGTTTGTATATTATTTTAATAATTTAGTTTTGTTATTTTGTATTAAGTTTTTTTTTTAAGGAGAAAATATGCGAAATGAAAAATCGAATTGTTTATATATATTTTATTTGAAACTTGTATAATTATATTCTCTTAAAATGTCCGTAGTCACTGTTTGTTATCATCTCCTCTTGAATAATTTACTTATATTTTTCGTATCATCCAAACAGTAGTGTCTTCTTTATTTTGCACCATCCGAATTTATTTACTTCCCCTTGAGATATCTTTTATTTTGTTTCTCCGTTTTTTGTCTACATCATAATATGATGTTATATGGTATAGGGTGGTCTGGTATATTCACTCCATACATTCATAAACATTTATTTTCCCCACTGTCTCTATGTTTTTATTTTATTTTTGCCATATCTACTTACACATACAATTTGATTGTAGTTTCGTTTCATAAGCTGGAAAATGTTGTAATGTTGTTGTTTTTGTTTTTTTTTTCTTCTTGAGGAGCTATTCTATGTTTGTTGTCGAATTATGTTGTTGTTCAGTTTTGTTAAATTTATTGTATTATTCTATCCCGTTGTTTTCGTACGAAGTCTTGTGCTTGTTTATCATTGACACGTAATTCCAATATTTGAAGTATGGGATGATCTGCAAAGAGTGGAATAAAAAAAATATTATCATATTTAGTTCAATGGATGCTTCGCAGGAAAATCTTTAAGTATATTTAACCTTAAGTACAGAAGTACCCTAAATCAGAAGTAACGTGTTTAGACCTCTCAAGGTCGTCTATAGACTGGAGACCTCCTTAAACAGGGGAAGAGCAATCTCGACCCAGCATTCAGAGACAGGAGGGAACTCAACTTCAAACTCTGAGTCTGACCATGAGAATCAGACAAACATAACCGTCTTGGAGAGCCGGAAGAGAGAAGAGGCTGGTAAGATGATGGAGGAGGTCTGGGGCACAAAGGCGGAACATGTAACATCGGGAAGATCGGGTCCTATTATTGATGATATATGTGAGAGGCTAAACGTCTACATAGCAGATATTGTTAATTACTTCCATCTGAGGAATATGAAAATATTCACCACCAAGATATTGGGAGTAACGTTCGACAGCCTTTTCAAGTCGTCCGTGCATGTCACTGCTTTATGCGATAAGCTGAGAAGTAGGAACAAGGTCCTCAAGTCGCTAGCCGTCCATCGTCACAACTATATGTTGTCGATGCAGTACCTGCTTCGGTGTTATCGTCAGGAACATCCCTGCCATAGCCTTGTGGACAGGACTCCCCCACCCAGGCACGTCAGGAAAGATCTTCATGATCTAGAGAGAGAGGTCCAAAGGTACAAGCGTGAACTTCTAGATCAAGAAGCCTATCAAGCAGGTCTGAATGGTATTCACACGGATGCAGTTGCTCAGGCAGTAGAGCAATATCGAGTGAATACCATAATTGGAGACCATCGCCCATCCATCGCAGCTGAGGAGAAGTAGCTGCCAAGGCAAACACGAGTAGTCTTAGCTCAACTAAGATCAGGATGGTGCAACCGCCTCAATTCATATTGGGCAAGAATTGACGGCTCGATACCATGTCCGGCATGTGGACTAGGACCACACGACACGGTTCACCTCTTATATTGCCCAGCTAAGCCTACTCACCTATCGCAACCCGCTGAAGTTGCAGCATTCCTGAATTTGGATGTAGAAGATGCAGAACCAGACGATGCATGACAAACGACATGTATTCTGTTGCTACAACAACAACAAAGGCGGAAGATGGCCAGAATGAACCGGATGAACAAAAAGGGGGAGATGCAGACAGATGCTTAAAAGTTTAAGACTGACTTCTGCGGAAGCGGCTAAGAGGATAAGGTTTCCGGATGAGCAGGCGACTGTCAAATCTGCCAAGAAGAAAAAGAACGTCCCGTCGACCGATAGTAAGAGAAAGCTAAGTCAAACCAACGTCAAATGAGACTGCCACGAGAATCCACTGACGAGGCCAAACGAAGCTGGCTCTGATATCAGGAAGGCGAGTGCGGAGTCGGAATCTTCCGCAAAGACCGAGAATCCCAAAAGGACCAAGCGGTATTTGCGTAAGAGGAAGATGACAGCAACATATGGTAAAGAGACGCCGTCTTATGTCAAGGTTGCCAGGGAACGCTATCGAGACGAGCTCTGCTATGCAGTGATCGACGGCAATAGCGCGTCCGATAAACTAAAGAAGGAGTCCCATAAGGGAGTGCTAAATGCGGTCAGCAGCAAGATCATGGAGTACCTACGACAAGGAGGGGACTCTATTGAACTAGATAGCTGCGCTTTCAAAGGGGACTATCTAATGCTGGAATTTTAAAATCCAAATAGCATAGAAGCTTTGAGGAAGATAGTGGCAAGCATTGGACCCATAGATGGAACAATGAAACTCAAGCTGGTGAGGAAAGAATACATTCCTCAACTACAAAAATGGTACAGACTTTGTCAGAGGTTGGGGCAGCGATTTCGACACGGACCGAATAATACACTGCATGTGAAGAAGTGGGAAGTCTTCCACAGGGAGGAGAATGAAGAAGGGACTCTCCTTGTGTTAGGCTTGGACACGTCTTCAATGGCAAGTCTGGCTAAGACCAAGGGCAAGACGCACTACGTGTCCAATGCCGTTTACTTTAAAATAGGGAAGGCAAGGATTGGAGACGATGAAGCCAATGAAAACAGCGAGGGAAAGTACCCAGCAACAAAGAGGAGGGAGCCGAGAAGAAGATCACGGACTCCCAAGAAAACCGGTTACTGGAGGGCAATTGATAGAAATCATCCAGATTAAACTCCGTCGGAGAGAGACGGAATAATAAAAGGTACACATCGGACTGGTCCAGGAACCTTGGACAATTAAAAACAGGGTCTCTGGATTAAACCATTATAAATCACCAACACTTTTATGCAAATGCGGGTTCTCGTCCGAGAACCTGTATAATATGTCATAAACATGTATGCTTTCTCCTCTCCCCAGAGTTGTCAGGGGACAGGAAAAATCACCAAAATCTTATGGGGTGACCAAAGTGAAGACAAAACTAAGCAAATCCTAACGGTAAATAAAAAATAAATAAGCCGACTGACGGGTATTCTAACAGGACACCTCAGCCTGAAGGCATATCTACTTAAGATTGGATGCGAAGGTAGCGGCATGTGCAGATCGTGTGGGGAAGACAGTAAGACGCTGGAACATTTCCTGTGCCATTGTCCAACATTTACAAGCCTTCGCAAACAATTCTTGGGAAATTACACTCTTCACGGACTAACCGATCTGAGGGGGTGTGAATGGAGACGACTGAAGGAGTTCACAAAAAATACGAAACTCCTAGATTCATAGGCCAATTAAACCCAAATTCTTTGTTAATCTCAGCTTTCACTAATTTCAACTTTCTCCGCAATTCTAGAGCGCACAACAGGCCTCATTTGGCTTATGTGTATGTACATCTTATGTTGGACATGTGGTGCTATCATCCACCCCTCTTTTCAACCTAACCTAACCTAAATGTCGTTAAAGAATTGGAAAACTATAATTCATACGATGAAGCATTAATCGATGGAGACATAGACGATTCTCAAAATGTTATGTATGAGAGAAATTAAAAACGTAACTACTTACTTTTATCTGTCTGTTGTATTAATGGCAATTCAATTTGCTTCAGGCCATGGAAATTTTCAACGCTAGTACTGTAATCGGCAACACCGGGTATATTTCCCAATGCCAGGAATGCTTCGCCGCCAAAATCATTTGCCGTTATCACATCATGATCCATGACGGTGAAACAAATCATGGCACCTTCGACCAAACACTGTTCCAATGTAACCGAGAACTCAAAACATTCGTCAAAGATTGGATTTAAAGTTTTCTGAAAATTAGAGAAACAATAAAAAAATAAAAATTACAGTCAGTATTTAAATTTTGGAATAATATTTATTCATATAAAATATTTGTTTTTCTTTTTCAAAATGTCTACAACAATTCCCCTCACCTTATGCACATTCGTTTGCTGTTCCATGCAATGACCAAATATGCGACGCGGCAACAATTCAATAATGACAAATGGATCACTGAAACCATTCGGATCCAATGGTACTATATCCCGTCCGTGTAATACCTCCACACACAACGAATCGTGATTCAAATAGGCACGCACAGTCAACGAACCATAGGGTCCGGGTAATTGTGTCATATATTGTTCCCTTAAACGGCTGAGGTGATACATATCGATGAGGCGCCATGTCTCTGTTTTGTGGAACTGCAAACGTTGTTCAATGTGCCAGAAATCTTCCGAATGCAAATACTCCAAAGCCAAGCCCTGGCCCTCGGCATGGAAAAAGTCCACCAGTAGTTGTAGTGCTTCATATAAACGTTTGTGGAAATTCGAAGGTTTCTCCGAATCATCGCCTGTCTCCATTTGTCGCGACATTTCTCCCAATACCGTTTTCCATACAAAACGCAGTGCTCGATTAAAGTTTTTCGGTAACAGGGCACTATTTAAGGCGCCCAAATGCGAATCCATATATTCCAAAAGTGGCACTATTGCCTGATTCGCGGGCAACGAGTCGGGAGACCAAGCCAAATGAAAAACTGCCTTTTGTAAAGACATTTGCATTAGGGGTGCCAATTTCGAGAGTATTCTCTCACAACGACTCTCCATGTGGGCCAAACTTGTTTCCAATAAATTATCGGCCTGCTCCTCGAGGGGATTATCATCCGAACGAAAATCGGATAGGGTAAAGCGGACATATTCCAAATTATTTACCGTCACACACATATCGTCCGAACAACGAAAAGGCCCCTGAATTTCATAGTAACCACTATCCGCCAGCGCGGTGTGAATCAAATCGCAATAATGCATTGCCGTTGCGCACACTAAATCGATAAGTTGTGATTCCAACATAATACCCGTTTCGTCATCGGGCCAACTTATGATTTTCCAAAATTCTTTAATATTCACCAACGTTGAGGCAGTATCCACCGATGAGGAACTATAGCGTACCACTCGTTCACCCTCACATATGGCATCGCGACGTATAGCTTCACGAATCCGTTGCAGTGCCTTGGCCTTACTCACTACCATCCAATGTTCGAAAGTGGGTATAAACCATTCATGACATTGGGCCAGTGCCAAAGGTTTCTCTGGTGGTTGCGGCTGAACTGACAGGAAACGTTTTAATTGACAAAATTCTTGTAGTGCCAAGAACAATTCGAAGGGTTTAATATCGATTGTTTCGTTCTCAGCATCTGTAATGGGGTAATGGGCCGTGTGAAGTATTATTCCGGGTATTTGCCCCGCCTCCATGCGATGATAGATTTCCTCGCCGACTAAGGCATCAAATTGTTTGTAAACTATGCTAAAGTATTGAATACCATTGGTGCTGTAAAAGAGAGAGGACATATAATTATGAGATATATATTTTAAGGAGTATTTTTTAAGAATAATTTTTCAAGAATTCTTCTAAGCACTATAGACATAAGCTGGGATGATGTATTTTTTACTATATCTTCATCTCTGCTAAGTTTCCTTTTTTCGAAACTTTTAACTTCCTTGCCAGGAATAGATTTCCCAGATGCATCCAAATACTGGTAATCTCACAATTTAATGAAAATAAATGTAAATACCGTTCCAACGAGCTGTGGCACAATTGCAATAAGGAAATTACTTTACATCCTTATTGGTAAGACAAACCTACAAAACCACAAGTCAAAATGGATGTAATCTCTACTACGTTCCTACTTTGTGTGGTTATTATATCTATGTCCGTTGGTTTTCTCTCTCTCTCTCCTTTGATTCTAAAAACCTTGGGAACATTTATCCCGTAACATCCCACGCTTCAAGGACTTGCAGACATTTGAAAAAGTAATCCAACAACTTTTATTTTCCCCACGAAATGAACGGACAAACAAACAAAACCACGTTCTGGTGATAGCGATAGTTGGTGGATAGTTACTTGGTGAAGGCCTTTAAGCCATTGGAAATGTCGGTGCATGTGAAAGAGGTTTCAAAAGGAAAACCAATGAAAACTTTATTGATTCAAGTCCAAATACCTTTGGGCCAAAACAATATGATAACTTTGAAATAGGGCTTAGTTATGACGGGGGTTGGGGATGATTGCGGTAGCCATGGATCATTGTGTGTGTAGAATGATTTGGCTCTCCATTGCAAACATTTTAAGAAGATTTCAGTAATTTTCTTTTTGAGAGATTAGTTGACAATCGAAAAAAAAACGTTCATGTCACTCAAAAAGTTTCTACACCGTACATAGTTTAGAAAGTAGTTCATGTACTTCTTACGGACACATTCAATAGCTAGTAAATATTATTGTTGGTGTTTTTAAGACCAATAAACTAGGATTTCTTAAAAATATGCTTCGGCATTCGATTTTTTAAAGACCTTTTTTTCAGGATTGTGGATTCTTTAAAGCATATTTATTTAGAGCTAATTTTTTTTGAAGAATATCAAGAATATCCAGAGCATAATTTTTTTTAAAGGATATTTTTCAAACCCCCTTATAGAGTAGTTTAACAAAATAGATGAGTTAGAGCGCACAACATATTTTGAAGACTTCTATAGGACAGAACACATTTTGAAGTCATCTATGAACAGGAGATCCCTTGAGATCATCCATACACAGAATACCGCTTAAGGACTTCCACGCACAGAGAACCTCTTAAGATATTCTATACACATATAACATTTTAAAGCGGTATTTCTCTTAAGTTCTTTTTAACATAGATTTTTTAGATTTTAAAGAAAAATTTAGAAATTTTTATTAGTTCTAGCAAGGAATAGTGAGATATATTTAAAAATAATATATATTCTTGAAAATAACTTTATATGCTGATAATATTGAAATAAACGACGTTTACTGCATTTATTACATTTTATACAGGTATGTGACGTTTTCGACGTTTACACCTTTTTGACGGTCGAAAACCTAAAAATTCGGACCACACGGACCATTCCTGAAGGGTATCATATAGTCGGCTCCGTCCGACATTACTACTTTTCTTACTTGTTTTATAATGATTTTTGCGGAACAATTTAGGCTTGAAGCGGATCAACTCTAGTTTTATTTGCTATAGTATAAACACATACGTTTTATTAATCATTTGAATACAACTCTTATTTAAATATTTGAAATTAAGGGTTAACCATGTAAATATTTTTAAATAGTACAAAAACTACATCACTGATATTAATACCTTATCATACAACCAATACTAGACGAGAATCTTGCTTATCATAAGTAGTACCTAAGCTCAATCAAATTTCAATAAAATCGCTACACTTCGAGTCCTGGACCACCCGGCTCTAATTCGTTTAGCGAATACTGAAGCTTAAGATCATTACCCACGCTTGCCCAAGTTGATGGAATAGATCATAAGCTGGAAGTAGTTCCTAAACAAGGAGTAGCCAACATTATTGTAAATCTTGTTGTTTCGAGTGTCTTCACTGGCACCCAAGCCTCATTGAAACCCAAGGAGCTTTCTTTAGAGTCCTTAAAATACTAAAATACTAAAAATACTACGTTCTAAGAACTATCGCAGATATTTTGAAACGATTTCTCGAAGGGTTTAAAAAAATATCCCTATTGTGGAATTTTGAAACTTGTTTACTGTGAGTCTACTGTAAGGGGTTTAAAAACATTTCTTGAGAAATACTATCGTAATTTTTGAGAAATACTATCGTAATATTATTAATGAGCTATTAGGGAGTATTTTAACATTCCTGGATTTTGAAAATATTTGCTATCATAGGGGGTTTTCCAAATGTTTCCTAGGGGGTAGGGGGTATTTCTAATCCAATAAAAGTGTATTTATAATATTTTTAAAACTTCTAACAAAGACTCTCGTTGGGGGGTTAAACTTTAAAATATTTTTGCCTTTGAATTCCCCTGCATATGAAATACCGAAAATCTGTTTACATTTCTGTTTTTTTTTTAACAAAAAAAAAAAATCACATTCTTCCAAAGGAATGTAACTTACATTCCCATTTACATTATTTACTGTTTTGTACCAACTGCCTTAAATCTTGGTAGAAGGATGTGATGTTGCCCTTTTAAACACTTCCCCGGTATTTTATGGTTCACATTTTTCGAGTCACACAAAACCCATTTTATGTAATGCACGTGCCAACATTAAAGAAATACTTCTTTTTTGTTTGTTTTTATTGATTTTTATTTGGCCTTTAAAAATAGCACAACCGACACAAATGTTTGTCAGTCACCTCCCACCCAAACCACTCCACTACAAAGTAAAAAAAAAAATACACAAACTTTGTACTTACTTGTCAAACAACGAATGATAATAGGATTGTCCAATTTGTATGTCAGCCGTTATGGTTGTCACAAAATGTGCCAAGGGATTGGGTAAATTCTGTGCTTCCTTAAGGACATTCTGTCCCCATGTTACTGAGCCCTTACGCAGAGCATTCACAACTTCGCCCCGAACACCTTTGTTGAAGGGACATACGGCACGAAATGCCCGCATGGAGCCCAGCAGTCCCAGGCAACGCAGCAGAAATTCAAGTCTTATAAGTGAAGGGGGGTTGAGGGCGGGGAAAACTTTACGATGCTGGCGTATCTGTTGCAAGGAACGTTCCACAAAACCATTCATGGCCTCAGCCAACCATTGTTCGAAATCACGCGTAAAATGATCCTGACTCGCGGTGCTCCATTGTTTCTCCACTTCGGTTAGCAGGCGATGCATAAATTTCGGATCGAGGGGTGTGCTGCGATTTAGTTTGGCGGCGGCCACAAATCTAAGGGAAAACATAAAATGGTTTTCAGATTTATACTCTCTAGAATTTGTTGCACAAGTTCTCCGTCTTACCTTGCCGCTGCACAATGTAATTCCGCCAAATCGGCCTGCACCGCTAATTGATGCAGTATGGTTAACGCTGGTCCCGGCAATTCACCATTCCATGTCCAGGAGGGCTCGTGTGTGGCCACCTCATGCTGCATAAACACCCTTTGCAATTCCTCCAGATTGTGTACATCCATTGTGTGATCCCTGTCCATTTGGGCGCCATCACCCGATTGTCCATCACGTGTTGATAGCCATAATTTTAAACGTATGCGACCTTGTACGGTGCTGCGGTGGCTACGTGCCTCCAATTTGAACCAACCCTCCATGCCGGTGCTGGGTATATCGGCAATGGGTATATTAACGCAACCGAGAAAATCATCTTGTGAGCCCTGACGTGCCGATTGGCAAACCTGTTTGAAAAAACGTCCCAAGCCCCGGACACCGCGTACCTCGTTTAAACGTGACACAGCATCGAGAACACAGCTCTCGTCGTCATGGTCCCAGATGTCCAAGTGGAATGTGTCGGTGTTCATGTCATCAATGTCACTGTGGACATTGTTGTAGTATTTGTGTTTTGTTTTTGTTATTTTCGAGGGAATTACAGTTTTTTTTTTTTTGTTTGAAGAACATGAAAAGAGAGAAAGAAAATATTTAAGACATGAGTAACTGGAAAAAAATCGTTGTGAAAATGTGCATAAAAAGTAATAACTAAAATGTGATAAAGACTTCGTCCCAACGACTACACCAGTGACCGGTTGAGTAGGTGTCTAGGATTGTATGGGGTTTTTTTATGTCTTTGAATCGAATTTAAACTATTACGTGACAAAGTCGATAATGTAGTTTGTTTTATAAATATTATTATTGGAGGCTATCATAGGCATGTTTCTATTAAATATGTACTTCTTGTTTTAAAAAGTTGTTTTTAGGTTATTTTATGCATGAATCCTTTAAGCGCCTCATACACTATAAATCATGCCGTCATGCCGATGAACCCCTTTTTGTATATGTGAGATTGACTAGTGTATGGCAAACTCTTCAATCACTATTCCAAAAAATCGATTTTTGTCCCAAAAATTGTATTTTGAGTCGTAATTCAGTTGTTTCTTTATTCCGTCACAATTTTATTATTTTTGTACACAAAATTATTTACTGACAACTTTCAAAATGAATATTATTCACCAGATTGATAGAGGTTCATTTTCAAAATCAAAACTATTTTGATTTTCTTCATGCATTGTATGTGTCACACATACATAAATAAACTTTCAAAAAATAACACATACTATGATAAATGCTGTACGGCATGATGTATAGAGTATGGGCCCTTAACAAAGGTGGGGGTTTTTTTCATAAAAGTTGTATTTTAAATAAAATAAATGACGTAATTTTTTTTGAAAATATATTTGGATTAAAAAACCGACTATGAATGTCGTTTTAGAGACCAATAGATTTGGCAAAAAAATATATATTAAAAAATCCAAATCCAAAAATTTATCTGTGAAAAAATATTTCTCAAAAATCCATGGCTATGAGTGTCTCCGAAAAATATTTTACAAAAATGTCTATTTATTTATTTTTTTTTTCAGAGAATATCCGTGATAGAAATTTCTATTGCAATATCGCTTCAATCCCACGAAATACCGTCTCAATACCACGATACATTTTTTTTTTTTAATTTTTATACCCTTCACCACACTGTGGTACAGGGTATTTGTCTTTGTGCATATGTTTGCAACAGGCAAAAATATATCGAGATAGACCCATGGTTCCTTTTGCACACATATGCATAGAATCACTTTCTGAGTCGATTTATGCATGTCCGTCCGTCTATAGTTGATGTTAAATTGTATATATATCGGAAGTACAGGTCGCATTTATGATCCGATTTGGATGAAATTTGGCACAGCTCACTTATTTGCCCCAAGGACGAACCCTATTGAAATTTGGAAAAATTGGTTCATATTTAGATATAGCACCTATATATATTTTCGTACGATTTAAGGTAAATGGTGTACCAAAGTCCCTATATATCTTCCGATTTGCACGAAATTTGGTATAGCCTACTGAATTAGGTCTAGAATGATGTATGCTAAGTTTCGTGAAAGGCAAGAATTTTGGCATAGCGTACTAAATTAAGTCTAGAATAATGTGATGGTTTTAAGTAAATTGTGCACTAAAGATCCATAGCTAGGCCGATTGACACAACGTACTGAAGTTAATAAAAATTAATCTCTGGCAGGTTTGCTTGAAATCGGTTTAGATATAGATATAACTTAGCTTCCATATATAATTTCGACTTATTTATGTTGATTGTACACCAAATTATCAATGGGTGTCTGATTGAGATTAAATTTTAAACAGTACCAGTATGCCCAAAGTGGTGAAGGGTATCATATAGTCGGCCCAGCCCGACTTTACTCCTTTCGTTACTGGTTTGTTTATTTGTTTGTGGAAAACTTTACAAATATAATTGAGCCCTTATTGCACAACGATGTCCGGTGACGGGAGAATGAGGAACTAGTGCACCATCAATTAAACATATCAAGAAAACACACGATACAGGCTAAATGGGCTTTGGACAGAGATTTAGAAGAAACATATTTTTGAATGTACCTTTAGGGGTACATTTACTATTCAAATATTTGATGAGGTGGAGGTGTGGATTTTTACAGAAATAGGATTTGTAACCACTTTTAGCCTTGGACAAATTAAAAATATATTTTGGGGGTATGAATTAATTAAAGACACTTTCGACAGGTATTTATTAAATAATTTTTGAGGGAAATTTTTGTGTGTGGAATTATCATTGAAACATTTTTAGTGTGACTTTAGGCGTGGACTTTCGAAAGAAATATTTATTCAGTCGTTGATTAAAGTCTATTATACGCAGTGAATAATATAGTGTTCAATTGTGCGTATAACTATTGTCAATACGGATACGCCAGATATGAAACTAGAATAAAATCCTGATTGCTTTCATTAACTTTTTGGTGAAATTTCAACTTTTTTTTAAAATGTTCACGGCTGGCAAATGGACTTGCATTACATCTATCTTTGTATATATGTACTTGTAGGATACTTGTAAAGGATACGAAAAAATTTATATGGTAAAACAAAATCCGTATATGAATATCTTTGAAAACAATTTGTAAATGTAAATTCCGTAGCCGAGTTGTTTTGAATTTAAATTTGTCATATATAATTCTGCCTATCTACATTCTCAGTAGTAACAATGGACATATTTTGTCTCCACTAACCATTTTATATAAAAAAAACCCTCAAAGACCAAAGGGTTTAATCGAAGGTCTACGAACTCAGTATCAGTATTGATGCGGTGTACCACACATTCTTTTATCATTAACATGGGTATTTTTTTTAATTCGCTTTTGCATTTTTAAATAATTATTTGATGTTTTTGTGATTTTGGTGAACAGTCAGTCACTTGCTGATTCTCTTACGAAAAACAACAAAAACGATATTTTATTTGGATTTCAAATAAAATGAAGATTTCATTATTCACATTTTTTATATTTTTATTACAAATGAAATTCAGCAACCAAACAACGGGTCAGTGGTTAATGGCAAAAAATGAGGCCATAGTTCCACATTTAGTTTTTGTACACGATCACGAGCAATCATATCAAAATACCACAAACGTTTGTTCGCAACTGAATAGAGACGGGTCAAATGCGGTTGAATTTAAAATTATGCTTTTAACATCCGATTATGGTAAATATTTAATTTTTTTTTAATTTAAAATGATAAGTTTTGACTCAATGAGTTTTTGTTTTCTTTTTTATTCAGCTCGTCCTAGTCCGAATTTTTATGTACATGAAATAAATGAACAATTCGATCGAGAAATTTACAAATCGGGTAAAACATTTGTTTGTTCTGCACCTCTTCAGGGGGCTCTGCTACACTATAGGGATGGTACATCGATTTATTACAGTGTCAGTGAAACGACAATACCTCAATGCTGTCATCCAGACGCGGATATGGGTGTGAATTATTTTCAAAAATATAATATGGCTGCTTGTGTTTTAATACTTGGAAATAAAAATGTGTAAATTGTTAAAAAAAATATTCATTTTATTATATAGAGCTTTAGAATGTGATTATATATGCAGTAAAATGTTCCTTGGATTAAAGTAGAGTGTGGAGAGTCACTATCATGAACGTAGTTCTTTTCGAAATATATTTTGCAGAAGTCGAGGATTGAAATTAAAAATATTTTCTAAGTGGTTTCATAATAAATTAAGGACTGTCCTATGACTTTTTAAAATAGTTTCTCTATGCTTAGATTATTTAAAATATTTGCTGATACTGTCTTTTTGACAGGATTTTTTAAAACTTATATGCTAAGGAATTTACATTTACATTTTTCATTCATATGCGGGAAATTTTTAAAACACAAGCCTTCAAGTCCATATGGCTCATTTGCTGCAAGACAGGCATAACTCAAAAAAAAAAAAAAGGGAAAATTCCTTTTAAGTTTTTAATTTACTCACACTTTATATGGGACAGAGGAACATCTACAGCTTCTCATTTAGAGTGTGTAAGAGGTATTCATTCACAACATGAGGTCTATTATAGCTAACAATCGTGCATCATTAACTCGAAAATCACTTTTTTTGAGTTATGACTGTCTTGTATCTATACTAATAAAAGTGTAAAGTAATTGACCGACTGACTGATTTAACGTTTCATCAACGCCCAGACGAAACGGATGAAGCTAGAATTTTGGGTGAGGGTCACTCTTGGTCTAAATGTGACAGATAAGGCTGGGTTTTTGGAAATTCGTATTAGAACGGTATGAAATGTACTAAAAAGTACAAATCTATACTAATAAAAGAGTAATGGGATTAACTGACTGACTTATTTAACGATTCATCAAAGCCCAGACGAAACTGCTGAAGCTAGAATCTTGAAATTTTAGGTGTGTGTCACTCTTGGTCCAAAAGTGTCAGAAAGGGCTGGGTTTTTGAAAATTCGTACTAGAAAAGTACGAAAAGTACTAAATGTGATACCATTTGTATTTGGCGAACCAGTAGAGCTTGAACGCTGAAATTTGGATTGAGGGTCACTGATGGAGTGTAGAATAGATGTAGCGAAGAGCTTTTTGGAAATTCTAACTATAACTATAAGTATCCGAAAAGTACTGAAATGTACTAAATTTGGTACTATTTCGTAGCGTGTAAATGGATTGAGCTAAAAACTTGAAATTTGGAATGCAAATTAAGGTTGAGAAGTAGGGTCGATATGAAGAGAGTTTGGAAAGCGTGTACTCATGTGTACGAAAAGTACTATATGGTACTATATATGGTACAAATCGAGCTGGAATCCCGAAAATTGAAGTGACATTACCGTCGGAGTGTATAATTAGGATATGTACGTAGTTTTGGAAGATTTTTACTTATGTGTACGAAAAGTACTAAATCGTACTATAATTGGTTGAATTTGGATTTGGGTGAACCGATAGAGCTGGAACAATGAAATTTGGATCAAGATTCAGTTAGGGTCAAGATTCAATTTAACAAATTAATACT